AACTTGTATTGTCATCTTCCTGGCATTTTGCAGCTCAAGATAGTCTCCCATCCAAAAACCAACCAGGCTCAAAGCCTGCTAGGCTATCGAGATCTGACACATTTGGTGTCTTCAGGGAAGTTAGGTCGTAAGCTTCACGACCAGTGGCGGCTCCTGCAAAATGTCTCAGGGGGGGCAAATGTCTGGATGATTGATAAGGATAAGGTCCACCCATGCAATGGATAAATTAACAGCTTAAGCATGTAAAGGCAACTTCACTTCTTTAATATTAATGAAAAATAAAGTGACTCTTACAATACATCTTGTTTGTTTATATACTCACTATTATTACAATCCACTCAGTTTCTTTTATTAAAGATTCCACTAGGTAGCGACAAATATTGTTGACTGAAACGTGCTTACGTATGATGACGTAAGCACGTTAGTGCGAACCCTCCCGGAAGCCATAGAGAATGCATTGGAGCGCCCGCCGTTCGAAAAAAAACATCTTTGAATGTAAGTCTATGGGGCCACTCTGGGCGATTCTCAGCCAGAGTGAAATCGCCCAAAAAGAGGCGGTACTCCACAGAACGTGACATGACGCTGATTGGACTATATCCAGAGGCACAGTAACGGCTGAGATTGGTGGTGTGTCGCCCAATCGCCCTAATGAAGAAACCGCCCCTGTTCACGACAAACCTTCCACAGCAGCTGCTCATTGACCCAGGTGAGCACCGTGAGCTTCACGCCAAAGACAAAGATCCCCCGTGTAGCCTTAACAGACTGTTGGAGCAAGTGCTGTTATTATTGAGCGCCTATGAAGGCTGGCACGGCACACGAAGAAGTGGGTGGCCAGCAACACGTCCGGCCGTCTTTGTCTCCCTACTAGCGATGTTTACACACTGAACCAGGTATTCATTTGAGGCTGAGTCGATCTAGTGGAGGTCCAGGGATGATTCAAATAATCGTCACTGGTGTTGGCCGTGAGCGGGAATCAAACCCAAGTCGTCAAGTTTGTAGCGCAGTGCACTGATCACTGAGCCACCGCTCCCGATACCGGGGACATATAAACACACACTATTTACACTCCAACACGTTTATAAACACAGGGGCATTGTGCACAGCCATAACAGGGAACTGTTGTCAAAGAATGCGAATGAGGCCACCGCATGGAACCAATAACCTCTAGAAGCTACCCAACCTTACTTGTGAAGACGCGTGGTCAAGTCTGTGCCAAAGTACACCTTCATGGCCCGATGCACGACGTCGCGCGGCAATCAGTCACCAGTTACTGGCAAAGCCGCTCACGCGGACGGAGCCGATTAAGATGTAATCGGGTGGCTGATGAGTGCACCCTTTAACCCACGCCATTGACAGTGACGCTCGCACACGCGAGTGCTTGCTGATGAGCGGGGTGGGGGGGACAGGCGATGTGGTCACTGATTGCTATCGAGCTTTGTGGTTAAATAAGTGTTGCCATCTTAGCAATTTTTTCAAGAGATCTCCTGACTTTTTGGATATCCTTAGTAGCAAAAAATTGTCAAAGCGACGTGCAACAAACAGCGACTTTCCGACATGAGGACAAGAAACAAATTTAAAAGCGATTCCAGGTGGTATTTGAAATCCTGTATCAGTTAACGTATGATTCATACTTGTTTAGTTTTCTATAAAAAAAATATTATTACCTTAGAGATCTATCTAGCGACTTATGAGGTTTGTTTGGCGACTTTCCAATTGAAGGAATTGGCAACACTGCTCTGGAAATGTCAATAGTCACTGCATCCCTTGGCTCAAATAGTTAGTGCCCAACCAAGAGCAGAGCATAACAGATACGCCGTGATCCTGGCTAACAGCGCGACCTCACCTACCCATCAGTCACACGAGACTTAATGTTGGAACCCAAAGCGGGTTCAAAAGTTAACATATGCCAGACCAGCCACGAGACGCACAGCCAGTACCAATATACGTGCAATCTAATGCTCTATAAACACACGGAGGTGAATAATTAAACAAGAGACTTGAACAAGTTTTTCAATAATGACTCGCAATTAGTGGCCAGTAACTTGACATGACTCCACACGCAGAGTTCAGTGGGCTGTGCTTGGGCTACAATTTTAATTAAACGCTCTCATGACAACTTTTTTACGCAGTACACAATCTGTATTTATCCAGGCCGGCTGTAGTGAACTTGCAATCTGACTGAGAAGAGCCACGATAGTCAACAATCAACATGCCAGAGCTGGCTGATGCACTGGTTCAACAAGACCTCCCTCGTTACCAAAGTTGGATAGTAATGGGGCAAGTCTGCCCACAAGCATTCCAAAGAGCCCAGTTGACCGACACACCCAAGAGCAGCCAGGGCTGCGCCGCACAATGCGCCCGAGTCGTGGCCACTCTCGCATCACCGCCCACCTGCTCTCCGTGTCCAGCCCCACGAAGTCCTTCTTCTCAAAGGGCACGCACAGCAGCGGGGTCTTGTCACCGGACTTCTCGCTGGCGCGGTCGAGCCGCTTGGACTCGAGCACGATGAAGAGGGACCCCACGAACTCCTCCACGCGGGCCTCCAGGCCGTCGCACGAGTCCGCGTCACGGTAGACCACCACGTCGGAGCGCGGCTGCTCGGCCGCATCTCCGCTGATGCCGAGCACCAGCAGGCGCGAGTCGAAGAGCGAGTGCGCGTGCACGGCGCGCAGCTGCTGGAAGCTCTCGAAGGTGTGCGGCCATCGCTGCGCGGACGCGCACTCCGCCACCCCGATGAGCCCCACCACCTTGCGGTGCGTCTGGAAGTCCCCCCAGTGGTTGTTGTCGGGCGGGTAGTGCCGGCGGTAGCGCACGCACACCGCGCGGCTCGAGTCGCGCGCGCCCACCTGGGTGAGCGCGGCCACGCGGTCGAAGACGCGCTGGAACGCGTCCTCGGACATCACCCCCACGGGCTGCACCAGCACCAGCAGGCTCTGGTGCTCCTCGGCCGCCTGCGTGTAGTCGGGCACGCTCATGCCTGCCGCCCGCGCGCCGCGCCGCACCATCCTTGCAACCACACAGGGCGACGGGAACAGGGCGGGGGGGTTACACAGGGAGAGGGCGCAGAGACGGGAACGCGGCTTAAAGCCCCGTGGCCTGACGGGCTCCATTGCTCGAGGCTGGCAAGCCGGGCCTTGGTGGGGGGGTGGGGGGGTAACGGAGACACTCCGCGCCGCAGAGGCGGAGCCCCAACGACGGCAAAGAGCCTCCAAACCCAAAGGCGACTCGCGACCTCCTCACAGCCACTGGGTCATGTCGCCCGGCTCCTCGGTCTCCCCACCGCCCCAGTCCATTCCCGCTCTTCCCAACCTGCCCTGCCCGTTATCCTCAACCCCGACGCCTCTCCCCTCCCTCCTCCTCCTCGCTCCCCCTGCTCACTCCTCGCATCGCGCTCGCCGTTACCCCCACGCCCGGCTCGGCCACCCCCCTTGGCGTGCTCGCCTCCCCGGGTTAGGCGCCGCCTCCCCGGGCAACAACACTAGCACCACGGCGGTGACGTGCGCGGGGCCTCGCGAGCCGCTCTCGCACCGAGGAGAGAAGCGCGGGGCGGCGGCGTTGCGCCGAGGAGGCGACTGCGGCCGCCGAGGGCTGCGAGGGCTGCGAGAGGTGGAGGCGCTCTCGCTCGGCTCGCGGTCCCCCCCGGCTCGGCTCCCGCGGCGTCTCCGAGCGTCGCTCCTCGCTCAGGCCGCCATGGCAAGTGACGTCACCGACGACGCCGCCCCACGGTCCCGCAGCCCGCGCGCGCCGCTACCATTGGTCCTCCGCGCCGCACGTGACTCGCGCTCGCGCGGTTCCGATTGGCTGCTGCGGGAGCGGTGGGCGTGGCCTAGCGGATGCAGGAAACGCGACGAGCTCCACGTGCACGTCACGTGCCGGTCATCACCAGCTGTCGTGCTCTGTCCACTGCTAGAGGGTCTCCTCCACCCTGCACTCTCATGCGCTGCTGTCACGATATACAGAGCTGGAGTCGTCGCTCGAACTCTGCAAAGAAAGGACCTCCGGGGCGCGTTTCGTTCTATGGCGACAACGACGTTTTAGTTTAACACGTTCGCTTTCGCGACCAATTTCATCCATGTTTTTTGGGTTAGATCGCGTAAATATATAAATGTGTCGTTAAAACCCGCCACCACCCGACACAGCCAACTAGTAAGGGTTGTCACGTAAACAGCACGTGACCAATTCGTCACGAGTACAGCACCACCGGTGTTGGAGAGCCAGCCACACCATTTACAGAGTACGACGTTTCGCCAGTAATTACAACTAGCTTCATCAGGCGACAGCATAATGCACATGCATATTGCACGTTGCCTCAGTAACCCCCCCCCCCCATCATTGTGCAAGAGCGCAGAAGGGTGATCAACACATCTACGCCTCTAAGGAACGAAACAGTAAGACTTCTTCACAAATCTGTCTGTCGCCTGATGAAACTAGTTGTAATTACTGGTGAAACGTCGTACTCAGATTGTAAATTTTGTGGCTTGGCTCTCCAACACACCGCTGTGCTGTACTAGTGACGAATTGGCCACGTTGTTTACGTGACAACCCTTACTAGTTGGCTGTGTCGGGTGGTGGCGGGTTTTAACAACACATTTACGCGATCTCACCCAAAAACCTCGATTATGAACGTTTTAGTTCCGTCACCGGCTATCCTCATCCCTTCTAGTAATGTGCTGGCCAAGGCCACTTCACTCTTCTTTACGTCATTCTCCCCATACTCAGAGAACGTCTCCGCTCGCACTCTCAGCGGCGTTCAGAGACCCCAGGACTCCGGTGGCTCCTACTGCGCTCTTCACCCTCGACCTGTCTTGGAAATCCAAACACTCCCCTCAATTTGCTTTTAATACTGAGCAACTTCATCAAAGATGCCCTCCTGGGAAAAATGTTCGCACTCAGTACGCACGCTACGCTCTCTCCACGCTCCGTGCCAGTTCACAAACCCCCGTTTACCAGGAGCCAAGCACGCAGGGTCAGGGGTCAACGATGAACAAACACCGCGTGTGCCGGGTCGGCAATTCCACGTTTATTACCAAAACACGCGAGCACACAACTCGGCATTGACGTAGAAGGCGCGTCTACAGATCAGACGCTTCTGCATACATCCTTTGTGTATGACAACAGCAATCTTCAGGACCAAGAGTGTCCAGCTTTAGTGTTTAGAATCATTCCCCTCCACCGCCGATACGTGAAAGGGCTTTTTCGATCACTTTCACATCGCCCTGACATTAATACGGGCAGTTTGATACGAGTTACGAGTCCGCACACATTCTTAAGTCAAAGATAAATTAAGGGTGATTTACAAAGATATTTAAATATACTTATTGATGGAAGCCAAGTGCGCTAAAATGTTCAATTATAATTACAAAATAGGTTAAATAGAATTGTACCGAGTCGATGGCTGTCAGCTCAGTGGCTGGGGTGCAGCAGCATGTGTCGCAGGACAGCTGCACAGCCCTTTGCACTCAGTCACACAATGGGCATGTGCTCTCTCTCTCTCGAGGTTGTGCTATCAGGACTCACTTTGAAGTACCCTTGCACCACACAAGGCCGCAACCATCAGCCACCAATTGCTACATCACAACATACACGAAAATAGCAGCCAACACACCACTGCCAAAAATTACAGCTGAAAAGTGCCTTAGTTTGGCGAGTTGATTGGGTTCATCACAGGCGTAGGGAGGTAAAGGATACAAAAAATATCAACCCCAGACAATCTTGAGTTGTGCGTTTCAGCGATAATTTCCACCTTGCTCGACTAGCCTCAAAAGGCATTGCGCCCTACAGCGAGCGTCCCCCACCAGCAGCACAAGCTAGAAGTAGGCAGCGCCGCTCAACTCTCTGTTCACGTCGGTCTCGTGCCGGTCTTGTGGCTGCCACACATTCCCGAGACCTCGTGTGGCACCCACTCTGGCCAGTGACGACGCTGCAGTCTCGTGGGCGGTCCAGTACCAGCCGCCCACGGCTCAAAGGCCCCGAGGCCGGTGGTGAGGTCTCAGTGCCGCATTGTCGACAGGAAGCTGGAGACGTTTTCGAAGACAACAAAGGTGATGCAGCACGCGGGGGTGACACGCAGGAGGTTGGGCACAATCCCTTTGTAGAATCCCAGCATCCCCTCGTTTCTATAAAGCACCACACCACACCATATGTACCACAGAGCATACAATACCAATTTTAAACACCCACCATTGCACACATTTTACACCAAGTTACAAAGTAACACAAAACAACCAAAACGAGACCATCCCACAACATACCAAACCACGCCACGCAGTCCAATGCCACAAGCCATAATACACAGCATGATACAACGCTTTAAAAAATACCCCAACATACAAAGAAGTTCAACATACATACAATACCATACATACGACACTGTGGACACATTACCACAATGCACACCATGCCTTCCCACAACACTGTTAAGTGTCTCTGGAGGTGGCTGTGCCCACCCGTTTTTCGTGTTGCGTGGCCCACGCACCTGTACGCCCGACTCACAACATCCCACACGCCACGGTAGTGCGTGTGCTGGTCCTGCAGGCGTGCCCGGACCACCTGGTATGGGTACGTGGCCGATACGGCAAACAGCTTGGAGAGTGCCGCCATGCCTAGGTACTCCATCGTCTCCTAGCGGTAGGGGCGGGGGGGGGATGAGGGAGAGGGGGACACCCGTTCAGGTTCAGGAAGCGACCCCTGACACGGACTATCCCTGTGCGCAAAGGGGAAGATGGAGCTATGGCCCAATGTTGCGGGGTTTCACTTAAGCGGTGTCGAGACACACGGATAAATTCTCTTCACTTCATAATTAACCCTGCCTTATAACAAAACACATGTTTGTTGGCTAACACTTCAGTCAATGGCCCAAATTAAGAAGACAACCACGCACTTTTCAAAGGCAAAATTTTTATGTATTTGTGCACCACTTCATGTTCTTTTTTAATACATACTGTATTGTTTTTTTTTATCAAATAGACCAAATTACGATTACAACTACATGGTAGGTCGATATATTGCACACACAAGTTTGGAGTGTCGGTGATGTGGGAGAAGAGAATGTGTGCGTGCAGAATAGTGTTGCTAGCCAGCGTCACCAGCTTGGCGGCGGGAGGCCGTCCCCGGCGAACGTTGTAGCCAGACTTGAGCTCTTCATACGCCATGAACTGCAGCGCTCCGTGAGACGTGCCAATTAGGCCCGGCACAAATCCCTGCTCCACGTGACAACCGACACGAGACAGCCATGGCCGCACATTTACAATGGTCTGAGCTGGTGTTAATTGACCTCTAAATATTGGAGTCCAGCAATAACGTGCCTGCTAACATAACCACAGCAGTGTCGTCTACTCCTTAAAGCAGTCACCAAAACTAACCTCAAAATGTCACTAGTTAACCGAGACAGGAACTTTATTTTAAAATTGGAATCACTCCTACATATGCATCATTTTGTGTGCAGTGAATGTCGCTATATTTGTCGTGAATCGTTTTGACAACGCTTTGCCACACGGGAATCCTAAAAAAGTGTATCTCTAGCGACAAAATCGTTGAGTTGGCAATACTGGTCGCCCTACAGCCCTGTAATTCCTGGTTGAGCCCCCTCAAAGATCATCCTGCTCTAGTGGTTTAATTCCGAAGTTTCATCTCGTTCTCCATGCACTCAACAGCTTCCACTGATACTCATCAACTTAGTCGTGGCTACTATCACTCAAATCACTTGGTAATGCCCTCTGGTAGATGACCCTGTAATGGTGGCACCCCCTTCACTCGGTAGTGTCTGCCAGCGCTCCCCTCACCCGGTAGAGGCCTCGCACTCCCTCCTCACGTGCGATGAGCACAAGCGCATGCACCATGCCGCGATAGCGCCGGGGCACCGTGCCACCGCCCGCTTCGTACTGCAGCACCAGTCGCGTCTTCACCACCCACACGGGGTTCGTTACGCACAGCGTCATGGCACCTACCCACACCGCACAAGCGCACGAGAACACAGACATCGAGACACCAGACGCTCACACGCCTCAGATCAGACCTAGCTCAGGTCAATTATAATTAGATCTAAAACTGTACGGTATTGTCAGTTGAAACTACCTTTACACTGCGATTGCAACTGATTACAAATTAGACTATTATAATTGTAAATGACCCTAGGTCTAGGTTCAATCTCCGACAGGATGACTGCATTCGGCAGGTACAGTGGAACATGCAGTGGGATGGTACCTGCTGGTACAGTGGGATGGTACCTGCTGGTACAGTGGGATGGTACCTGCTTGTGCAGCAGAGACGAGGTGCTGCCCGGCGCTGAGCGGCCCCTCCGTGCCCTCCTGCTTGTGCGCCTTAATGGCGTTGTAGCTGCGGATAAAGCAATGCGGCAGTCACACAAATAGATATGGCGAACACCACTACCGTCTGGAAGGCTTCTTCCAGTTACCCGACTGCACATTCGCAACATCGACTACAGCCGAGGGCACGACGCATTCACCACGTCTCAGTGTGCCAGTTCTGTGGTTGATTATCTTGGCAGAGGCCCTAACACTTCGAAGTGAGTTTAAGACGTAGGCTTTTGCAACCAATATCATCCATAATAGGTTTTTTTGGGTTAGATCGCGTAAATGTTAAAACCCGCCACCACCCGAAGTGGTCACGAGAGTGGATTTAATCCAGCGTTTTGGAGCATTGAGCGTTACCCTCTCACGTGCGTGGGGGATTGTATGTGGAACTTATTTCGCACAGTACGTAGTCAACGGTGCTAATCAGTGGGGCGGGGTTTTCTCTCACATGTAAAACTACTTGTAAATTCATGACAAACCCCAATGCAAGATTCTCTCCAAAAAGATTCCTTGTTTTTCGCGAGGTTTTCCTGGGTAATGTCATCATCATTATAATTACTACTACTACCCCTGACTATAATGTCGAAACTCTCTAGGCCCTGGCTTGCACTGGCGTGGGGCAGCCGAGCCAGGGGCGCGCTGCCTGCCGCTCACAAGAAGAAGTAGAGACCCCACGAGGCGCCGGCGCCCCACATGTTGGGGGTGACCCCCTGGTAGAGGCCTCGGACCCCCTCCCGCGTCCACACGCTGCGCAGGCAGTGCGCCAGCCCCGTGTAGCGAGGCCGCCCCGCCAGCCCATCGCTCACTGGGGGGGGGGGGGGGGGCACAGATACACGGGGACATCAAACGCGCCGGGGAAGAGAGCGAGGTCGCGAGCTCCGGACCCGCGACCTCAAAGAAGCTTCCACCACCGCGGACGGCGCAGCGTGTGCGGGCACCCCCAGTCCGACCCCGTCCCTGACGCGCTCCCGGCCCGTGCCCCCCCCCCCCCGCGCACCAGCGAGGCGAATCTTGGCGAGGTCGAGAGGGTGCAGGGCCACGGTGGAGAGGACCCCGCCGCTCACCCCGGCCACCAGGTTCTCCAGGCGGACGAGCTCCAGCACGCGGCGCAGCGCGCCCGGGGCCCCCAGGAGCCCCTCGGGGCCCGCGCCCCGCGGCTGCGCCTGGGCCACGGGAGCCACGGGAGCCATGGGATCTTCTGGAGAGCGAAGTACGAGCGGAGCGCTGCGAGGGCGTCAGCTCAGAGAACGCCGAGAGGAGACCAGGGCCAGCCCGGAGGACAGCGCAGCGGCTGAGCGAGTGGGGACATAGGCGACGATGGGAGAGGCGGGGGGGAAGACGCGCAAAGCAGCGCCCGAGATGCGGGATTCGGCAGCTGATCTGAGAGAGAGTCGCAGGAGCCGAATCTCGACCCGCGCTGTCGCTGCTGTCACGAGGAATCTCGACCACGCGTTCTTCCCGGACCCGGATCCCTCGGACCGCGGCCCCAGGAAACGCGCAGCAGAGAAAGAGTTCCGGGGCTCCAATGACCCCCTCCTCCCCCCAAGTGATCAATAATTAATCGAATGGCAACATTTGAATACCGTACGGTACAAGAGGAAACCTTGAGCTATGAGCGGTAGCAATCGTCAATGTATCGCTATACATTATTAACGAAATCTATAACTTTTCATGAACACAGTGAATACGGGGTTTTTGTTAATAATAGGAACGTTTACATTTCTTCTCAAAGTAAATATTTAACGGGTTTAGTCAAACAAAAAGTGTTTCCTGACAGGGAATCGAACACGGGGCGCAGCGGTGAGAGCGCCGATCGAGAGTCAGCCCGACGTGGAGATGGAGCAGTGGCATCATCTCGAGGCAGAGACTGCGGAATCATCGCGGGGGGGCCCAGAGAGATGGCGACAGCCCGTGGAGCCTTCACCCAGCAGTGGGTGGCGAAGTGTGGTGGTGATGCGGGTCGGCCGGACGCGTGGAGGGGACCACCCCCTACCCACCACCCCCACCCCCACCACCCACCACCCCCACCCCCACCACCCACCACCCCCACCACCCACCACCCCCACCACCCCCACCCCCACCACCCACCACCCCCCACCCCCACCACCCACCACCCCCACCCCCACCACCCACCACCCCCACCACCACCATCACCACCATCACCACCATCACCACCATCACCACCCCACCCCCACCACCACCACCCACCACCCCCACCACCACCACCCCCACCACCACCACCCCCACCACCACCACCCACCACCCCCACCACCACCACCCACCACCCCCACCCCCACCACCCACCACCACCACCCCCACCACCCCCACCATCACCACCCCCACCCCCACCACCCACCACCACCACCACCACCACCCCCACCCCCACCACCACCACCCCCACCACCACCACCCCCACCCACCACCACCCCCCACCACCACCACCCCCACCCACCACCCCCACCACCACCATCACCACCCCCACCACCCCCCCCCCCCACCACCACCACCCACTACCACCCACCACCACCACCCACCACCACCACCCACCACCACCACCCACCACCACCACCCACCACCACCCACCACCACCACCACCACCCCCACCACCACCCCCACCACCACCACCCCCACCACCACCACCCCCACCACCCCCACCCCCACCACCCCCACCCCCACCCACCCACCCCCACCCCCCACCCCCACCCCCACCACCCACCCCCACCCACCCCCACCACCCCCACCCCCACCACCCCCACCACCCCCACCACCACCCCCACCACCACCACCCACCCACCCCCACCACCACCACCCACCCCCACCCACCACCACCACGCTGCCTGCTGCTGCTGCCGGCCTCGTGGGGAGGATTCGGCGCTCTCACCGCCACGTCCCGGGTTCAATCCCCGGTCAGGGCACGAGTCTTTTGGTTTATAATTTCAAAAGCCGTGACACTTTGGTATCACGTAGCACACTAAAGATAAAGAGTAAAAAAAAAGTGTTCCCTTACCGGGAACAGCACCCAGGACGCGGCGGTGAGAGCGCCGAATCTTCCGCCCGTTGCCCCTCTGTGAGGCCCTCTGTGTGCCCCTCTGCGTGCCCCTCTGCGTGGCCCTCTGCGTGGCCCTCTGTGCGCCCCTCTGTGCCCCTCTGTGCCACTGCCACCCGCGCCCTCTGCCGGGCACTCGGGGACCTGCGCGACCGCACGCCGCTACCCCCATGACGGAGTCCGCGTCTCATCCGAAGGGCAGCGCAATTTGCCAAGTGACCGTGGCAACAAACGACGCATATTACTTGATACAAATCGCCACGAATGATGCGATAATTCACTATGCATTTCAGATATGAAATAGCCATTCATCTTGCAATGAAACTTAAAAGAATAATAATAAATAAAAACATGTTCCCTGACCGGGAATCGAACCCGGGCCGCGGCGGTGAGAGCGCCGAATCCTAACCACTAGACCACCAGGGAGCGCGATGTGAACGCCACTGCATGAACTATTGACATATCATAAGAGGGTAAAACAATGAAAATTGTGGCGATTAAGCAAATTTTGGAACAAAGAACGTCATACATTTGCCAATAACGCTGATTTAAAATGAGATACATTTTGCAAAAGGTCCCTGTTTATAGCACAACGGTTTCTGATGTGGGTGATTGACTCAAGCCATGTGAGCTCCGAGCTGGGTTTGACTTTAGACAGCTGCTTAGCATGACACATGGTCTCAGCCTGGTCAGGAGGACTGGCTTCAGACTCTCTCGGATTCAGGGACGGCAGTCAAGTTGTTCTGCGATCCACCGCCTTGGAGAACACACTTTGGTGGGGCGTAGGGGCATTTGGTGTTGCAAGGCCCATCCCAGCACCAATCATTGTGTTGTGTTAAGTGAACGTGGGGAAAGAGAGGACCTCACTCTCGTAGCAGTGCACTGCTACCCAGAGCAGACGCTTGTTCCAAAGCATGGAGGCGAGAGCGCACACAACCAGGTCCCCCCCCCCGCGTCGTGCCAAGCATCAGTAGACTCGACACAACTTTGATTCTCATTTTTATTGATGATTGCGTTTATCTACATGACTCCGTGACGCACATCGAGGAACATCTCTACCCGCGCCGCCACCCATGTCCTGGCACCCTCGCGCCAGCGCTAAGACTCAGACTTCTCTCCGCATCCGGGATTCCACGAAATTCCATTCCGTTGAAAATTTTTCTGCAAAAACCTCAGCTTCCACATCACCAAACTCTGTGACCCTTACCACTGCTCTCCACTGAAAATCGGCTACAAATCGGCTGACATTGTGTTTCATGAAAAGTGAAAAACACATGCATCCCTACATTAATAATAAAAAAACGAACAATGACGACGTGCGCTGCTCTAATTGCCTACAGGGAGGGAGTGGCGCTCGCTGCGCAGGGCCCCGCGTCCACGGCACCACCGTGTTCCCCTGCCATCCCCAGCAGCGTTCCCGAGCAGAGGGGCTGTGGCACCGCTGGGTCCTCGCGGCCTCGTCGATTTCGAGTGGACCCGCTGTCGCGTGTGCTAAAGTGCTCACCGACCGCAGTGGCTGCCCGCACACCTCCCCGCTCGGAGCGAGCAAAGAGTGGCGAGCAGCAGTCACCTCACCCTGACCCTCAACCCCCTCGCAGCCCTGTGGGAGTCACACAGCCCAGGGACACGAGACGCACAGCTCAGCTTTTCAAAACGGTGTAATATTGCGATACAAGGCTAACATGATTTATTTTAGACTTTTTTTCTTACGTTTTATCTTAAACACTATTTACAACTCATGTACAGCGTCAAAAGTGGATCGGTGCAAGCCCACGGGGTTTTCTCCTCGTTTGACAGAGGCAATGCTACCGGACCCACTCTGCTTAAGTCATCACATAAACACTTGGGTGGAAAAAGTGACTCTCTACACACTCTAAGCGGTCAAAACAGACTACTTGCTGCGTGAAGTACAGAGCAGCGATTTAGTAGAGGCTAGATGTTGCCCTAAAACCCTACAAGCGGTCCGGTGCTCCACAAGCAACACCGAGGAAGAGTGGAGCCCAGGCCTGCGGCGCGAGGGAGGAGGGGGTCGCTCCCTGGAGGAAGCCGAGGGTCCCGGCAGCAGCAGCAGCAGACTCAGACGCTCGTCTCGAGGGGCATTTTTAAGAATTCCCTGAGCGCGTGTCCTGTGACAAGCGCCAAGCGCCGTGCGGGGCCGGCAGTTCGGTGAAATGTTATCTTCGCGGTCGTCAAATCGAGAGCGCTTTGCGACGCTTCACGCCTCCTCCTTCAGGAGGCCGTCACTTATCACGGAAGTAGAGCAGGAACGCCTTGAGGGCCTCGGGCAGGGGCAGCGCCAGCACGCGCTCGCGCAGGAAGTTGCGCTCGGGCTCCTCCCCCGCCGGCCGCCCACCCGCAGCGCCGCTAGCGCTGCTGCAGCTGCTGGAGCTGGTGCTGTGCGCGCCACCCACGCAGTTGGTGCCCGTGCTGTTGCCGCCGCCGCATCCCTTGGGCGTGGCCACCACGGCCGACGCGGCGGCGCCGTCTTCCCCGAGCGCCGGGACCGCGTCGCGGTCAACGGCATCGGGATCCGCGTCGTCCGCGTCGGGGTCGGCGCCCTCGCACGCATCCCTGGCGCCGTCGCCGGTGCCCCCGCCGCCCCCCCCCTCCTCCGCACGGGCTTCGTCGCTCTCATAGTCCGAGTCGAAGTGGTGCGGCAGCAGCTGGTTCCCCACGAACACAAACGTGTTGATGCGACGGCCACGGGGACGACGGCGTTTACGTCTGTACACGACAGCGCACGCACGCAGGACGCACGCACCACAGAGCAGAGATACAGGTCCCCTGCACACTCTGGGAGGCTGCAGGGGCACGTGCTGCCAAGCCCTGGGAGATACGAGCGATCACACGTCGTCGTGACGTTGTCCAAGGTCGAGAATTGAACCTAGATCATCAGATGCGTTGCGGCCGAGCAAATGCATCATCTGAACCCCTTGAACAAAGCAAAGGCAAAGATCCCCCGCATAGCCGTAAGTGGACTGTTGAGGCAAGTGCTATTAGTGAGCACTTATGACAGCCATCACGGCACATGAGGGGTGGGTGGCCAGCATCATGCCTGGCCGATTTTGTCTCCCTAGCAGCAATGTTTACACATCACACCAGGTATTTGAGGCCGAGTCGACCTAATAGAGGCCCAGGACTGCTTCAGATAAGCATCACTGGTGTTGGCCAAACGTGTCTGTGCATGTGAGTGAGCGAGGGCACCTTGGCTTGGGGGGCCGAGGGCTCGAGTAGAAGCCCTGACCTCCCGTCTCGGCATTAATGAGCTCTCGCAGCGTGTGCCGGATAGCGAGACGGGCCAGATCTTGCAGAGAGCGCACCTCCAGGAGAGCTGCACACAAGACAACAACAAGATCCCCCATATAGCCTTAACAGCCCATTTGGGCAAGTGCTGTTAGCGACGAGGGGGTGGGTGGCCAGCACCACATCCGGCCGCATTGTCTCTCCAGTGCGATGTTTACACACCACGCCAGGTACTCATTTAAGCCTGAGTCGACCTAGGGGAGGCCTAGGACCAGTTTAGATAATCGTCAATGGTAAGAGTGTACACACAGGTGTGAACACACAAGTCAAAGTGATTTCCTGCTCAAATTAGCAATGAGGGGGTTCTCATCTTCTGTTTCCAGCCACCAGTGGTGTAAATTCCACATTGCTATGGCAGGGGCAAGTATATCGATTGGAGAACCACTGTTGACTTCCACTCGGTGGTGCTTTTTTATCGACCCCGGAGAGCTGAGGGGTCAACACCCCAACCGTCCTGTTGCGATCCGCGCACTCTCCCGCGGAGCCACCTGGGCGGATTAGGTGTATGCATACACATCCTCACGCAGGCAGATGCCGCCGTCCGTGCGCGTGGTTCCGGGCAGCACCAGCGAAGCGAAGGACACGGCCAGAATGTTCTTCACGTCCCACGCGTTCTGTCCTGTCCGTGTGATCTGTGTCAGCTGCATGCGCAGGTGGGTACGCAGGTGCCATGCACAGCTTGAGTACAACGGAATGCAAGTGCGTGCAGTCGCTTGTCAGTGAGTTTGTGATAGTTGGCATAAGTGGGGCGGCACAGGTAGTACACTGGCCAATCATCTCAGTCAGTCAACCCATAACACCTGGACCAGTCCAGTGACACATCGTGTAGCCTTAATGTACACCTGGGCTGGAACTTAGTGACAAATGGCAGCTGTTGTTATTTGTGTGTAGAGCTGGGGTACAGTGGTTAACATACTCTGTTGCGAACTTTGAAAACTGGGTTCAATTACTTACCACGATAAACATCAGTGGTGATTGATACCGGTCATGGGCCTCCCCTACATCGATTCGGCATAAACGAGTACCTGGTGCAGTGTGCTAACTTCAGTACTGGGGAGACAAAGGCAGCCAGACGTGGTGGTGGCCACACCACCCTCTTATGCGCCGTGCCGGCTTTCTAAGGTGCTTGCTAACAGCACTTGTCCCAAGGGCCTGTGTGTGCTATCCGGGGGATATGCGTCTTTGCTAGAGTTAGCGTGGCACCTGGTCCTCCATGGGCATGACGAGGATGCCCCCAACGCGCACCAGGTTCTTCATGAAGTTTTCGTGGTCCTTCTGCACGCCAGCGCCGCAATACACACGGTCGTACTGCACGCTCTCCACGCGCATCTCCAGGCAGTTCCCGACCACGAAGCGTGGCTCACACAGCTCAAACCTACACATGCACAGAAACATGCACGCGCAGACACGAACACATCGACAGGCCCAGGTGTTATATAAGTTGACTGACTGAGATGATTGGCAGATGCACAACCTGCGCCCCCCACTGTGCCATCTTGCTGTGTTTTAGTCGCCTGGTGCTGCACTCCTTGCCCTCCATTGTGGTTGGAGAGCGACTGCCTCCAACTGCCGAGTAGCATCCTTCACGTGCCTCCTTCACAGAGGCCAATGTTGACTGCACTGTTACTGGTCATAGGCAAATTCACTCAGCTCCACATCCTCCTGTACCACATCAGACCATCTGTTGTCTAGCACATGCTGTGTCCGTTGGTGCTCTCCATTAGACCCAACAGAAGCTGCTTGAGCACACGGTGGCTGAGCAAGCGGGATACATAACCCTCGCCTACCGGAGGAGCTCACCGATGAGGACTTTGTCAAGATCTTTCAAGGATCTGTGAGCTCCTCACACAATCCAAAGCTGGCATAACACAAAACACAACACTCACACGAACACACATACACACGCATAAACAATTACACATAAATGCACGAATACTCGCACAAACAGTTATGGACACACACGTGTAGACAGGACACCGCTGCTAACTGTCCCCATCTAATGTTGTTAGAAACAAGTTTTTGACATTACAATATCAATTTTACGAGAATAGCAATATAAGTTTGCCATAACTTAGCCATTTGATTTGGCATTTTTATTGTAATTTTTTGTGGATTGATGTACTTCTACGATTAAAGATATTTTCAATTTCTTTGACTGCAATTGACTCGGCATGAGATATCGCCACCTTCCAGCACCCCCGCCCCCCAATGCCGTGTCCCCAAGTGAGAGTGGGAGCTGCCCTATGCCCCATGTGTCAGAGGCGGGAAAGGAGACCCTCGCCTGTCAAAGGCGTCGCTTGTCTTGATGAAGGCATCGAGTTTCTCACGTGCGTACTCCACCACGTCCCCGTGCAGCTCCACGCCGTGGTTCACACCAAATGGACCTGCCCAGACGCAGATGCAGACATACCCAACAATACACACAATCAATGATTAAATTACACTGGAAATGAAAAATATAGTGTTTGTGAAGCAACGTGTATACGCATACATACACGTATGCAAGAACATATACCCTCGGCTTAATTTCTCGTTGTCGCCAGGAGACTGGAATAGGTGGCACATGATGAGTAGTAGCTGAAGCCATAGTGAGATGTATACTGGATGTGGCGTGATAGGTGCATAATTTTCTGGGCCACAGACCTGCACAGAACCGCCTGAAATGAATCTCTGGTTTGGTGTGTCTGCATACGGGTGTAAGAAATGGCAGAGGGGACACGCACCCAACATGAGCCCAACCATGGTGCTCAGGTAGCCTGTGCCGCTGCCCAGGTTAAGGAAGGATAGCCCACGCCGCAGCTTCAGTGCCTCCATGACCTCAGAATAGATGCATGGGGCCGACAGGTGGATGTTGCCGTGCTTCCAGGCGAGGTCACGATATGCACTGTCGCGGAACTCCTCCAGGTAGTACTGGGCGCGGTCCACGGCACGGAAGGCCCTCTCCACCTCCTCGGAGCGGATGTACGATGCCTCCTTCAGGTTGTCGATCAGGTCGTCGTTGTCCTCGCCCGCGCTCACCGCTCCGCCCATCGCGACCGCTCTGATGTTTTCAAGATTAGCGGAGCCGACCCGAATTCGTTGGCTTAAACTTGAGGCTGGCGCGAGCTGTGCGTGGCGACTGGTGAGGGGGCCCTCAACGACGCAGCCGCAGACACCAGCTGCACCTCTTAACCGGCGCTCATGTCCAACCGGGCTGCCCCAACGATGACGATGATGGCTGGCGCGGGGGTCCGCCGACCTGGTAATGGAATTGATCTTAACCGGACGTTGATCTGAGAAAAGAGGATTAGGCGGTGGGTTAGTCCGAGCCGGTTTCAGCAGCACCCATGGGGAACAGCACTCAGCGAGGTCCGCTGCCGGCAGTGACAGCACAGAGACGCAAAATTGCAACGCGGGTGTGGCGGCAGATAGAGCCGGACGGCAGAGGCGCACAGCTGTTCACACGGAAGCTCCATGGTCCACGTGTCGCCACACGGCACCGCAGTTCAGAGACTGCCAGCCAGAGCCCGAGATGGAGCCCGAGATGGAGCCAGACTCCAGGCGAATCCATTTTCTAAAACCCGGCCGGCCAAGTGTGCACACACAGGAGTGGCTGCTACCCGTTGTGACGATGGTATCTGATGTGAGGGATGAGGTTAACACCACACCGCGAGCAGCGCCGGTCACTACCACTTGCCCCACTTCCCAGTGCCGACATGGAGCTGCTGCTGCTGCTGCATCTATATTTAGCCCGCGACAGCGCGGCCCAGACAATAACAAATACAGCACAGCCTCCATCGAGGCCCCCCACCCTCTCCACCCCCCGCGGGGAGCCTAACCCTGCACAGGGACGCCACCTCTGGGTGGGGGGTGGGCAGAAAAGGCCACGAAAAGGTCCCTTCATAGGTAATGCCCATTGGGGCATGGTAAGGCTCCAAAATAAATTTTATGTTCCGAGCAATGCCCCAAAATTGCAATGCCCTGGATGTGTGGTGCTGCTCTCTCATTCGAAATGCGCCCTTGTTAGTAATGCCCCACGGTTAGTAATGCCCCTTCATAAGTAATACACTTTGACTAGCAATGCCCCTTCATTAGTGATGCCCCAAGGCTAACAATGCCCCTTCATTCGTAATGCCCTCTGGCTTGCAAATACCCTTAATTAGTAATCCCCGCTAGCTTGCAATGCCCCTTCATTGGTATTGCCCCCTGGCTAGCAATGCCCTTTAGGAATGCCCCTCGTTAAACTGCCCCCTTGGGGGGCAGGGAATGATGCAGCGCGCGCACCGATCAGCTGGCAACTGGTGACGTCATCATCGACGTTGGGGGGCACGCAGCCAATAGGAGCGCGAGGCAGCAATGAGCCCAACATCCCCTCCCCCACAACAACAACAACACCGCCACCACCACCACCACAGAAACAATGCGGCCGGAGCGCCTCCTGCAACATAACAATGGCACTACTGGAATAAACTAGGTAGATATAACAACAATAATAATTACAGCAGCGTCGCAGCTGGTGGTGAGACGCAGGCCGAGCCCGTCGAACTGGCTACCCCCAAGCGACACCACAATGGAGCCCGAACAACAACTCCCAGCCATGTCGCCCTGGTGGAGCTCTGACCGTCCGAGACATCAACACGACAACCCTCACCTCCGTACACGAACACTGTGGCCGAAGCATAACCCCGTCCCACTCCTAGCCCTTCCCTCGCCCAGTCCTAGCGATATCCACAATTCCCGAACCCTCAGAGCTGAGCCACAACCCTCGTCCCCGTCTCCCACGAACCCCGCAAGAACATCCCAGCTGAGACATCACGAGCTGGCCCCGTGTTGCTATTGTCATCGTTGCGAATGCATCGCTTTCTAAAGCGATGTCCGTGTGCTTGTTGTGCGTGGTTGTTTGCGTTACGCTTTCGCCAGGTGTATAAAGCTGCAGTTGTAGTAACGTCACAACCTGCTATTGTTGCAAGGGTGTCGTTACAGCAGGTACTCTGCACAGTAGTGTTGTTGATCTTATAGTTGTAAGCTCTTAATCACAGGCATCGTGAGTTGCTGCAGTTTGTCTAAACTCAAGCAGAGGCTGCGACCCCGAGCTCGCTGGAATCGCCAGGGTCCCCGTGTCCCCCTGGGCAGGGTCCCCGTCCTGGGCTCACGGGGTCCCCGTGTCCCTCTCGCAAAGGGCGCAAATCTCGGGCCGCTCCGCCATTTCGTCCATCACCCGCATCTGCAACCCCCTCGCTTCTTGTACCCTCGCCCATAACTCCCCCTCACCACCCACCAGTCCCTCACTTTCATCTCATTAACCCAGATCCCTCACATTCGCCATCTCTATTCCCCCCCAGTGCTCATGTCACCCCGATGCAAGCACTCACCAGCACTCCTCACCACCGATACCTCGCCACCAGCACTCCTCACCACCGATACCTCGCCACCAGCACTCCTCACCACCAGCACTCCTCACCACCAGCGCCCTCACCACCAGCACTCCTCACCACCAGCGCCCTCACCACCAGCACTCCTCACCACCAGCGCCCTCACCACCAGCACCCCTCACCACCAGCACTCCTCGCCCCCCACTCACCGCGGGTGTCGCACGCGGCGGAGGCGGCGAGGAAGGACGCGCAGCTCGGGCCCGGCTCTCGTGTCAACACGAACACGGGACGCCGTGACGTCACCACCACGTCACGGCGTGTCACCACCATCAACAACACCACCACTCATTCACACCACCACCATCAACAACACCACCACTCATTCACATCACCACCATCAACAACACCACCACTCTCACCACCACCACTCATTCACACCACCACCATCAACACCACCACCACTCTCACTACCACTCACAACACCACCAACAACAACACCACCACTCTCACCACCACCACACTCACCAACACCACCACCATCACTTACAACACCACCACCACTCACTCACACCACCACCACTCTCACCACCACCAACACCACTCACTTACAACACCACCACCACTCACTTACAACACCACCAGCACTATCAACACCACCACTCACCCACACCACCACCATCACTCACAACACCACCACTCTCACCACAACTCACACCACCACCACTCTCACCACCACTCTCACCACCACCACTCGCAACCACTTTCATCATCACTCACATGACCATTATCAGCACCACCACCACTCACATATCCTTAATCACTATAATCAATAACACCATCACTTTCATAATCACAGACATCACTAACATCAGTCACGCCACCAACACAACTCATACCAACATCAACGCTCAGAATCACTTCTAGTATCACACGACATCACCGCTCGCATTACTGTCATCACTAACACCATTATTCACACCACCACATCACTATTAGCACCAACACTCAGACAATCACCACCAGCATCACCCACAACATCACCACTTACCGATACCACCACCAACATCACCAGCATCACCCACAACATCACCACTTACCGATACCACCTCCAGCATCACCCACAACATCACCACTTACCGATACCACCACCAACATCACCACTTACCGATACCACCACCAACATCACCACTTACCGATACCACCACCCACATCACCAGTTACCGATACCACCACCCACGACATCGTTCACATCACTGTCATTTACATCATTGCCTCCACCACTTTCATCACCACCAACACCAATCACTAACATCACCAACATCACCACTCGCACCATTACCAACACCATCACTAACATCACTACTCACACTATTACCAACACCATCACTAACATCACCACTCACACTATTACCAACACCATCACTAACATCACTACTCACACTATTACCAACACCATCACTAACACCACTAACATCACCACTCGCACTATTACCAACACCATCACTAACATCACAACTCACACTATTACCAACACCATCACTAACATCACTAACATCACCACTCGCACTATTACCAACACCATCACTAACATCACCACTCACACTATTACCAACACCATCACTAGCACCACTAACATCACCACTCGCACTATTACCAACACCATCACTAACATCACTACTCACACTATTACCAACACCATCACTAACATCACTAACATCACTACTCACACTATTACCAACACCATCACTAACATCACTAACATCACCACTCACACTATTACCAACACCATCACTAACATCACCACTCACACTATTACCAACACCATCACTAACATCACTACCCACACTATTACCAACACCATCACTAACACCACTAACATCACCACTCGCACCATTACCAACACCATCACTAACATCACCACTCACACTATTACCAACACCATCACTAACATCACCACTCACACTATTACCAACACCATCACTAACATCACCACTCGCACTATTACCAACACCATCACTAACATCACTACTCACACTATTACCAACACCATCACTAACATCACCACTCACACTATTACCAACACCATAACTAACATCACTACTCACACTATTACCAACACCATCACTAACATCACTAACATCACCACTCGCACTATTACCAACACCATCACTAACATCACTAACATCACCACTCGCACTATTACCAACACCATCACTAACATCACTACTCACACTATTACCAACACCATCACTAACATCACCACTCGCACTATTACCAACACCATCACTAACATCACTACTCACACTATTACCAACACCATCACTAACATCACTAACATCACCACTCGCACTATTACCAACACCATCACTAACATCACTACTCACACTATTACCAACACCATCACTAACATCACTACTCACACTATTACCAACACCATCACTAACATCACTAACATCACCACTCGCACTATTACCAACACCATCACTAACATCACTACTCACACTATTACCAACACCATCACTAACATCACTACTCACACTATTACCAACACCATCACTAACATCACTAACATCACCACTCACACTATTACCAACACCATCACTAACATCACTAACATCACCACTCGCACTATTACCAACACCATCACTAACATCACTACTCACACTATTACCAACACCATCATTAACATCCCCACGTTTTTTACCAACAGAAGATAATCACATTGCAAGTCTAGTATTCCTACTACACCATGACTATCATATCACCTCTACAAAACATGTGGATTTATAAAACACATATATGTGACTACAGCTCGAAACACTGAATACAAACGTCTTGAACTTGGAATTGAACAGGGGCAGGAAGTCGACTGCCCGCAGAGCTGGGGGAAGTGAGTTCTGTCAGACTCTGGGGGCAACAGAGAATGATGGTTTGAACACATCAGACCACCACGGTATTTACCTTCAGCAGCATTACAGGACGTATTGCTTTAATATAGACTCGCGTAATAAAGACCCCTTTTACTCTTCCAGACAAGGGTGAGTGATATACCGAAGATAATCACCCAGGAATGTCTGTCGATAACGCTCGTGACGTCACTCCACATCGAACAGCCCCCCTCATGAATAATAATAATCATAAAATGACGTCCTCCAAATGGACCCCCCCCCCCCCCATTCATAATAATTAGTGGCTGACGTCACTCCACATGGGGGGCGAGGCGCCTCCTCCCCCCTCCTCGGCGTCAACTCACAGCCCTCACGACAAAGGCAGTACCCTCACGTCACACGGTCTCCGTGACGCTGTTGAGACATCAAAGTAAAAGGACGTCTTGATGAACAAGGGATATTAACCTTAAAATGAAATAGGTCTGTGTCACCGCGCCCTTACAAATTGCACACGCATTGATACAATGAATATCACGTCGCAGTCTGCTTTTCGCTTGCAAGTTTCAGATTTACTGCAATACACCCATCCTTGGACGGGCAAAAGGCGAGTTGAAAAGAAACAGGAATCAGAGATGTGCTTTACCAGCCAAAGCACGGAAACTGACAACACGATATGAAATGCGTTTGCATTTTTAATAAGCCGTTCCACGGCATCCGTGATAGCCGAGGAATTGCTTGTTCCACCATAGTACAGGTGTTGAATTGGGCAGTCGTCAGTGATATATATACACCCGATGGTTTGCACCTTACCACATTCGCAGTTTGGCGAGTCCTTGATCTTTCAATTATGGAGGAAATATCCCCACACCTTCTTCCATATGTTGTTGTTAAGGCGTGTCGAAAATAGGTGTTTCAATTTCAAATGGGACAGTGGTGGGGATCAAATGTCAACATATAGAGGGAGATCTGGATGTTACAATATCTAATGCTAAGTGTTAAATCATCATGTCAGACGTTTGTTGGTAGGATGATCGCAAGTACTGGCAGCCACTGCAGCAGTGTAGCTTTAGAGAGCCGCTCACCACACGCAGTGCAGCGTTGATGCGCGTCAACAAACGCGGCGTGAGAGATGGGCGTAGCGCAATATTCTACGGTAGAATGGACCTGGGCTTGCGTTGATATCCGAAGGGTCCCAGCGTCACATCCCCAGGAACTTTCTGCAAGCTTTTTGATTAATAATAAAGGTTTTTGGTTAATAATAAAGGTTTTTGGTTATATCGCGTCATTTATGTGTCGCAACCCTCCACCACCAGACACGGCCAATGAGTAAAAAATGTGTCACGTTGACAAAAGACAAATCGTTCACGACTATAGCCCACCGGTGTGTTGAAGAGTGAATCCACAACTTTACAATTTTTGAGTACGACGTTTCACTGCTAATTACAACCAGCATCATCGGGCAATTTGCCAGAATAGTGAAGCAGCAGTGTGACGTCATTATTTAACCCAATCATGAGCAGGTGAACTATTTGCCATTTGTCAACGTGACTACTTTTTTACTGATTGGCAATGTCGGGTGGTGGAGGGTTGCGACACATTTATAAATAACACGATCTAACCCAAAAACCATTATTATGAATAATAATGGTCGCAAAAGCCTACGCGTTAAGCTTTTTGATGTTTACCATGAACATAATTTAGTATGTGCAACTTGAGAAAATGTGCAGTAAAAGAGTAATACTCTCCTTTACCACAACAACAAAATAACACGCGACAACACCAGCCTATAGTATTTGTGGACCAGTGTTTTCCAGCAGCATTTGTTCAAGCAGATGGTAACAGTTTAGACTTTTTAAGTGTCATCAACAGAATGTGGCCTGTTAAACAAAGATGATGGGTTGGCTCATGGTATAGGCAAGACTTCTCCACAAAGCATATAAATTTCAGTACAATTATACATAACTATGCTTTGTCATCGCAAGAACAATTGTCCGCTTTGACAATCCACCAAAGTACACAATTCGTCAAATATAACAATAGCTCCCAATTAACCTGAAAAGTGTCAATACTTTTCCAGGAGGGTCATGCTTTGAGACGTTTGGTAATTTTTTTTTAAATGTCTTGCATGTGGGAGAAAACCAGCGTACCTGACAAAACTCCTCGCTGATGAGGGGATAATGATCAAATGTCCACCAAGATGGGTTCACAAACCCATTTGCTGTACTGCGTTTTACTTGCCACCTCCCAGCCTGGTAGGTTTGGGAAGTTAAATAAATTAAATCACGACGTTTCGGGTGCAACACAAGTGTCCTTCTTCAGGTGGGGACAACTTAGTGAAAGCACACCGCTTAAGCGGTGTGCTTTCGCTAAGTTATTTATTTTAATTTTTCACCTACGTGACTTTACCGAAAAAACCAAAGAGTATGAATCCTTGCAGTCACGAAAACTTCAAATCTAGAATTAATTTTAATAAATCTGTGCCACAATAGCCCTTGGCTGCATAGTGTTGCACAACAGGTGTGGGGTGCAGCGTAAAAAACCTGCTCCTCTCTAAGGCAAAGCCCTTGCTCTGAACTCTTGCTCACATACATGAATATGGCATGTCAATTATCACACCAATTACCACACCCCTTAAAGTAAGAGCTTACTTTATGCTGGGTCTGTACAGGTCAGTGGCCTAGAAAATATTCTGTTCGCAATGGCACACCACATGCAATATACCCCTTGCTGTGGTTGTTGGAGCATTCCAGGTCAGCATTAAACATCCTGGATACATTTATTATACACAAGAATTGGTACAATTTCAAGTGACGTTTTTTATGATTTTATAAGGTCCAGCTGGCAACATCTATTGACTTTTTGAGGTTCGTTTGGCGAATTTCCTCTGGCTCTGAAGAGTCCACCTTGGCAGCCAGGTCTGCTTGTGAGGCACAGTCCACATCTTCTGGGTCGACCCTCTGACCCACGGCGCTGGGCTGGCCCAGGTCTGGAGGCTCCACGGCGGTCGCGACCGGATCTGGGGGTGGCTTGGCTCCGGGGAGGGGGACCTTGTCTGCTCCCTCCTTGGCCAGTTGGTCTGCGTGCTCATTTCCCAGGTTTCCAGAGTGGCCCTGCACATGCACCTGCAGGCGCAGAAGTAACACATCACATCAGCCCGTATCAGTGTCACCTCGCTGAACGGGGAATTCCGGACTGACTCTTGGTTTTGCGGAAGCATAGTGGTGTGGGGGAGAAGCGCGTGGCGGCCTCACCCAGGTGATGTCCATGTCTCTGCACAAGTCGTCGAGCAGGGCGAAGTCGGCCCTGTTAACCACCAGCGAGCCCGAGCCTTGGCGCCAGCCACTGCGCTTCCACGTGTGCACCCAGGAGCCCATCCCTGTGCACAGACACATGGAGGAGGCAGCGTCACGACAGAGAAGCGGCAGAATACAGCCGCTCCGAAAAATAGTGCTGCAGTCAATCATACCCCTTTGCCACTGCTAAATCCGAGCCAGTTCAGAAACTCCACAGTATGGGCTGGTTTCCACCGGATATTTGCTGTGCCAAGCTGGAACCGAACCACAATATGCTGGTCTCACAAGATATCCGAGCTAAGCAAGGCCAGGGGTATGGCTAATGACACGTCCATTGCGTGTGACACCAGAACCGACTTTTATTTTGCAATTTCTGAGCTCAGGCCGAAAACCACAAAATGTCCAATAGCCAACACCAAATAGCATTATTAAAGTTGTAAAAGATAAGAGTTAACACGTTTCTTGAATTGAGCAACATTATACGAGCTTGGGGAAGAGACGATGGGAAGGAATTCCAAAGTGCAGCAGTATTGTGACTCGCAGTGCGGTGGCTGAACGTGGCGTGGATGAGACGAAACGGACAGCATGTTGCCCTGTACACTCGTGTCCACATCTGTCCGCTCATGTCTATTGCTGTTCAATCACCGTTGACGATGAACATGCTGTCCGTGCACACAATCAGCTTTCGGAGCCCCTGCTCGCTCGCCTGCTGCACTGCACGGCACGCCGCCTATGGTCACCAATCAGCACAGGTAACATGAACATTAAAGAACGTAAGCCAAAAAACAATCAACTTGATAAAATCAACCTCAGCTCCGTTTCTCTGGATGTTCCGTGCATACAAGAATACGTTGCGGCTCAATTTGCGTGTATCAATGGAAAATATCGTTTAAAAAACTGCTCTATAGTAAAATATCGAGTCATGACAGAGAGAGAAGTCATGTCAGGTATTTACCATATTCTGTTTTTTATTTACCATGATCTCGGCGCGCTGGTTTGTTTGTCGGCCAACCAGTCGCTCACTCAAGTTTCTACACACACAGATACCAAACACACACAGAGACGCACCTGTGAAAACATGTCCACTTGAATAAAAGTGTAGTGGTATTGTCGAACGGACCGTACATGTTAATGCGCAAGCTCAATGCAACCACAATGGGGTTTCCTCATCACACTCGTGTTGTAACAGGGCGGTGTAAAATTGGGGAAATGCGATGAAAAGCAACTTCCTCAACAGGCAGAGGGGACGGGTTTCAGACATAGGGAAGGGGTCTCATGAATTGGGGTCTTCAGGATAGAGAATGGTCTCAGGGAGGGGGGGTCTCTGAGACAGCGAACTCACAGGGAGTTGTTGGTGCCCCAAAAGACTCCCAGTCCCGCGCGCGCCGCCTGGCGCCCATTGGAGATGCAGCATCCATCGGTGAAGACGACCGGGACGCCGCCTGCGGGCGAGCACACAAACCCCGCGCTGTCAGCTCCGTCGCTGTGCGCTCATCCTCGTCGCTGTCAACACCCGTTCGTCGCTGTCGTCTTCATCGCCCTAATGGCAGCATGAAGGACGCACCCACGTAAGTGTAGCGCGGTGGTTGACCCCCGCGCCCCGCGGGCTGCTCCTCGTCTTCCCACCGCCGCCGTCGCGGCCGCCTCTCGGTGGCTGCGCCGTCGTCCCCGCGCCCCTGGGCGAGGTAGGCGTGGGCGGTTGCCTCGCACAGACACTTGCGGAAGTCGGCTCCCGGGAACCCCTCCACTTGGGTCCTGCATTCGTCCCTGACAGGACACGAGAGGGTCCTTAGCGGGTGTGGCACAGGTCCCAGTGGCCAGCGTCCGCGGTGCGATGAGGGGCCTCACCACGTCGCGTAGAGCCCGGGGCTCCTGCCGATGCGTACCGCGTAGTAGCCGCGCCTCTCCGCTCTCACGAGCAGCAGCAGCAGCAGGCCGCGTGGCGTCCGCAGCATGGTCCGGGACGGGGTCAGGACCCACGGCTCAGGACTCCCTGCCCGGGTGACCCGAGTTGTTCGGGAGGTCCCAAATTCCCCGAGTGTCCCGGGTGACCCCTGTGCCCTCCGCCCTGGGCTTCCCACGACTCCCAGCCCCCTCACTGCGCGGGCCCAGGACGCCCGAGGAGGTTTCTATCTTCCCGGGTGCCGCCGGGGATGCCCCACGCGGTCGCCTCCACGCGCAGCGCCAGACGACGACCCCCGACCCTCCTCCTCCACGCGCTGCAGTCTGGGAAGGGGTTGAAGGGTCACGCACTTCCGGCTCTCCGTCACTTCCGCCACGTCCGCCTCCCCCGGGCGCGGGGACCACGGATCCGCGGGAGTCGCGGGCACCGCGGGGCCCACGGGGACCCGTGACCTCGTCCCGCCTCGGCCGCCTCCGCAGCAGCAGCAGCAGCCCTGAGCCCTGAGTGAGTGGCGCCGCCTCTCGCCGTCGTAGCGCGGGCGCCGTTAGCGGGCGGGGGGGGGGGGGCGCCGGGAAGACGCCCCCCGTGTGAGGGTTCCCCTTCCCGGCGGGGCCGCTAGGCGAGACCCAGGCGTAGTCCGGGCCTCCTCGAGGTTCCCCCGGCGTCACGGGGCTCGGCGTGTCGGGGTTACATTTCGGCATGAGGGGGGTTGAGAAGGGCATGGGGTTATGGGGGGTTATGGGGTGTCTGGTAGCCGCTCCGCTCTCCGAGCTCCTCCAGGAGGCGACAGCCACTTGGTCTTCAGCCGGTGTCCGCCCCGGTCCCGGCCGCTTCCCTCTTCACCCCCCTTCGCCGCGCGGGGCGAGGACACCGCGGCCCTGAGCTGCCGCACGAGGGACGCGGGGCGGGGGGGGGGACCAGGGCCCCGTGTCGCTCACCGCCACGCGAGAAGAACGCGGCGGGCGGCTGCAGTGCGATCACGGCCGCGACATTCGGTGGCATCGGGGCGTGAGCGAGCTGGGGGGGGGGGGGTTCCCAGTGTCACGGTGAGGGCCCCAGTGTCACGGTGAGGGCCCCAGTGTCACGGTGAGGGCCGTGTCGGTTGTCAAGGGCGGCGGGGGTTGGGGTGTGGGTTCGTCCCGGTAGGCAGGGTTGGGCGGTGTCAGGGATGGACAGTCGCGGGGATATTGTTGGAGCGACTTGTTTGTTGTTTCGTGCGACATGATGCCCGCGAACCCGAGCGCCCCGGCCGTGTTGTGGTGCAGGCGTCGGCCCGCCGTGTTACATACAGCTCTGCCTCGATCGCGTATCTTTATCTCGCTCTTCTCTTGAGTTCTCTCCCGCCCATCCTCTCTGTCTCTTTAGCTCCCTCTTGCTATGGTCTGTGGAGTTGAGCTGTTTCACTCGGTGTTCCGCCAGGTGCAGCTCTCGATTTTCGGGAAACAATGGAATCCCCGTCCCCCCCACCTCAGGCGACGCGGCAGGACTCGGTGACTCGGTATGCGTCAGCGTCTCTCTCATTTCCCTCCTCCCTCCCAGGTGTAGAGGGCGGGCCCAGTTAGATAACTACCGCCAGGGAGCTCGGGGTCGCCAGACTCGGTGAGGCGGGGCTTCCGTCACGCTGTGACGGAAGCGCCGGCTCACGACCAAAACAACAACATGGGGCAGCCAAGACTCGTGACGCGTGAGCGGCAGCAGCGCATTCGCCAAGGGCAAAGCGGTGCAGCACCTCAAACAAGTGCGTGTCACCCTTTCCCTGGCAGGGGGTGTCTGTTCGGTGGTCGATGGTGAGTGGCGGCCACGGTGAGTGGTGAGCGGCTCGAGGAACCCAGAGCCATGAAGCTGTACGTGTTCCTGGTGAACACGGGCACCACGCTCACATTCGACACGGAGCTCGCCGTGCAGAGGTAAGGAGAAGGCGGAACTGCGACACATCACTACTGCCGCCCGGCAACGCCCTCACTGCTTTAAATTGATGGGGTTTTTATTCTCACGTTTGCCGAGAAAAGGGCCAAAACGTTAAGCTTCTTCACTATGGGGACCTCATTTGCCAGTAAAAATATGATAATTGGTTCTTTACCCTTCTATCTGGCAACAAAACTGACACCTTTTTGCAAGGAGTCATGTTTGCATAGACCGCAATACCTGCAGTCATAATACAAACAAAAGAACATAACTCTGATAATGTGCACTGTCCTTGAAGTTGATTGGTCCACACCCGAGACAGCTTTCCTTAGAGCCTAGTCTCATATGGGTTGGTCCAACCCATATGGTCCAACCCATATGAGACTAGGCTCTAAGGAAAGCTGTCTCGGGTGTGGACCAATCAACTTCAAGGACAGTGCACATTATCAGAGTTATGTTATTTTGTTTGTATTATGACTGCAGGTATTGCGGTCTATGCAAACATGACTCCTTGCAAAAAGGTGTCAGTTTTGTTGCCAGATAGAAGGGTAAAGAACCAATTATCACGTTAAGCTTCTTGTTGACCAAGGTTACTATAACCGCTTGGATGGGGGGAGGCAATTTCAAATTCGAGCAGTGCGAGGGAAGAAGCAGAAAGATAAGGGAGTATGGTAGTTGAACACAGCATGGATGAAACAAAACAGTCAGTCTGGGAGACAGTCTCCAACATGGGTGTAGGAATTAACGGGTGAAGTTCACGGAAACAGTAACTATGATAGTAGCGATAGAAGGGTGATGAGGAGGCGACTGACCGCCAGTGAGCGAGTGCTGGAATTTCAATCACTGTGACTGCCTTATGTTGAATACTAAGAAGTGCAATGAGGTAGGAACTGGGTGCTCCACCACAGATATTGCAGCAGGATTACGACTTAGACTGAAGTTGTGCATTGTATAGTGTAAATAATTGTTCAGAGTTAAAGAAGAAGGCGTTTGCACAGTTTGGGATTGAGCAGCATTGTGGTGCGTGGTTTTCGTGGTGGAGGATGTTTACCAGGGCACGTGTTTTCCCGGCAGCGTTGCCGAGCTGAAGAGTGCCATTGCTGCAAAGCACCGCATTGGGGTGCAGCACCAGGTGCTCGTGGTGAATGGCGGCGAGTGTATGGCCTTGGAGCGCCGCGTCTGCAGCTATTGCGCCGGAACGGTGAGTGGGGCCACGTCTCCTCCTGCACCGGTCATGGTGGGGGAAGAGATCCTATCCCTTTAGTATTTGGATTCTCAATGCTTTGCCGGAATCGCTCCCAAAGCCGCAGAATGTGCTTCCCTAGAACATTGTTGCCAAGGACACCGAAAAGGTCATCAGATCTAGCGACAAAATCGCCAAGTTGAATTGGCGTCTCGTCGTGTCCCCGTGTGTACAGGACACAAACCCCATCTTCCTGTTCAGCAAGGAGATGATCGTACGGGACAAGGCGCCGGCAGTGCCACGCTGCGTGTTCCCGGCAGAGACGGAGATGGCACTGCGTGTGGAAGAGTCGCTCATGATGCCACCTGTGCTCAACACCGTGGCCTCGCGCTCACAGCTTGCGGCGGTGAGAGCCCTCTGCGAATGCGCACTCATCTACACAGACTGTTGGGGCAAGTGCTGTTAGCCAGCACCTCTGAAGGCCGGAACGACACATGATGTGGTGGGTGACCAACACCACGCCCGACTGCCTAGCGATGTTTACACATTGCACTAGGTACTCCTTGGAGGCTGGATCAACCTAGGGGAGGGCCCGAAACCGGTTCAGATATTTGCCACTCTTATTGATCATGAGCGGAAATTGAACTCTGGTCTCCGGGTTCATAGCGCAGTGCGCTCACTGCTCCATTACTGCTGCCCACCCATCAACACACGCATGAACACATCCGGAAACATTTATGCTCACCGACACGCTTCTCCACACGCACGTGCACACGCCCGCACAGGAGATGCAAGAGTTTGCGGAGCGGCTGAGTGAGTACTGCCGCACGCTGGTGCACGACGAGCATCTGCAGCACCAGGGCTGGGCGGCCATCATGGCCAACCTGGACGACTGCATGAGCGGATACGCCGCGCTGCTGCACGGATTTTCCAGCGCCTACGCCACCTTCTCCACCGCCCGCGACTCCATCACAGAGCAGCTCAACGCGTGAGGCCCCAACTCCCCCCAAACTCCCAACTCCTTCTGCCCACATCCTTCCAGATCCATTGCCTTCCAGCTGTCCCTGCTATCCTGATCAAACCCCCCCCCCCCCCCCCCCTCTGTTTTGGCTCCTCTTTCTCCCAGTTCTCACGCCTCTCTCAGATCCCACTCTTCCAGCTTCCCTGACTCTCAACCCCCCAACCTGCTCCCTTTCTCCGTACTCCCCCCTTCCAGTCGCTGGGCCTGCCATGTCATTAAACACAAATGTGTTGGATGTAATGGGGAGGTGTAGCCCATACAACAACACAGACAATGTAAAAAATATGGATATTGAACCTTCTTTATTGCAGATGTAGAATGGGAATCAAGACAGGCGGAATGTCATCTGATGTTATTTTTTATTAAATAATTTGACTGCCATTTTTTGAGTCACCCATGAGAAGCAGCTAATAAACCAACGTGTACATAAAAAAACACAAATAATTCAGCCACGGCTTTTCGATGATGAACTGGAGCAAGTTCGCGAATTGTGCGTCAGAATTGACATCACCTGTAGTGGTGTGCCTTGGCCTGCCCTGACGGAGTGATGTGGCACAGGCTGGGCAGCGCTGTGTCAGTGATGGCGCAGATCCCGCTGCTGCAGTCACTTACAGTGAGCATGTCCCGCGATGGGTCCCAGCGGGGAGCCACCGCTGCCGACGACAGCTCCCAGCTCGCTTCCTTCAGCTCCCTCGGCTCGGATTCGGCTCCCGCGGCGCCAGCGCTGATGCCAGGGAAAGCAACGCCTATTCAACGCCGGCAGAAGCAGCTCGGAGCAGAGCAGACCGGCTGGGACAACGGCGCCCATGGGGAGGCAGGGGGGTATCCGGCCGGCGCCGGGTTGAGTGGTGCCACCGAGGGCGAGACCTTTCCTCGCGCCCGTGATGGAGCGTCGACGGACATCGCGATCGAGTCGCCCGCCGGTGCTGACGGCAGGGCGGGGCCCGATGCGGCGAGCGAGGACAGTGCGGCGGGGCCCACCACCAGCACCCAGGAGCCGTTCAACGTGACCCTGCTGGACTGGGTGAACGTGCAGGACCGGCCCAACGACGTGGAGACGCTGGTGAAGAAGTGCCTTGACTCGGTGCACAGGGTGAGCCACACAGCCTCCTCTGTAGACACGGACACAGAGGCACAGGCAGAGACGAAGGCACTGACACAGAGATGGATACTGACACATATACAGTTATGGCCATCAATTGA